TGGGTCAAAAAGCTATTGATTAATTTTAACGCTTCAAATTTTTGCGAATTGTCACTGGTGCTAAAAATAACCAGAAGTCTCTGTCGAGACTGAAGCTCTACTGTTTTGAACTTATAGCAAAGGAAGAGAAAAGTACTTAAGCAGCTGGGATTTGAAACTAAATAGAATAATGATCGTTGATAAAGTCTCTTTATGTTCTTAGTGTAGTCTACTTGTGTGCCAAGTTATACTGAAATCAGACCAAAACTGTAGGAGGAGTAGCATTTTGAAACAATTTTACAGAAATTTCTATTTTTAGTAACCACGGCAACACCGTTCATCAAAATTAAAATTCGATATACAGAATTATGTATCTTAGTGTATTCTACTTATGTGCCAAGTTATATTGAAATCAGACCAAAACTGTAGGAGGAGTAGCATTTTGAAAGAATTTTACAGATATTTCTATTTTTAGTAACCACGGCAACACCGTTCATCGAAATCAAAAACCGATAAACAGAATTATGTATCTTAGTGTATTCTACTTGTGTGCCAAGTTATAATGAAATCAAACCAAAACTGTAGGAGGAGTAGCATTTTGAAAGAATTTCACAGAAATTTCTATTTTTAGTAACCACGGCAACACCGTTCATCAAAATCAAAAACCGATATACAGAGCTATGTATCTTAGTGTATTCTACTTGTTTGCCAAGTAATACTGAAATCAGACCAAAACTGTAGGAGGAGTAGCATTTTGAAAGAATTTCACAGAAATTTCTATTTTTAGTAACCACGGCAACACCGTTCATGGAAATCAAAAACCGATACACAGAATTATGTATCTTAGTGTAGTCTACTTGTGTGCCAAGTTATAATGAAATCAAACCAAAACTGTAGGAGGAGTAGCATTTTGAAAGAATTTCACAGAAATTTCTATTTTTAGTAACCACGGCAACACCGTTCATGGAAATCAAAAACCGATACACAGAATTATGTATCTTAGTGTAGTCTACTTGTGTGCCAAGTTATATTGAAATTAGACCAAAACACTAGGAGGAGTAGCATTTTGAAAAATTGTTTACAGACAGACGGACAGACAGACAGACAGACAGACGGACAGACGGACGGACGCCGGACGCATTACTATCGCATAAGCTCTTCTGGTCTCTGACCAGTAGAGCTAAAAATCACTTAAGATTTTCATATCAGTTTATATATCTATGTTTCAATTTAGTATGCACAGTTAGGATACCACGAATATATACTCGCAACGTGGCAAGAAATTGCAGAATCGCTCCAAAACAATTTTGAAAATAAAAATACAAAAGGATGTGCACTGAAAATAACTTCTTAATCAATGATTATAACCATTTAGGAATTTGTGTAAGCCTTTTTACCTAAAATATAATTTAAATAAAGAACAACAAAATATAATTAATTTTCTCAACGTTTGGTTTTTTCTCACCTAAAATTTACACGCCGTATTTACATTTGGAACTCTCTAGTAAAAGCACCGAGTTCGAGTTATCATCCGTTTTGATACATGGGTGGATAAAATAACTGTTTCAGTGCTTGTCAAATCATCGGACGATATAATGAGGGCAATTTACACGCACGGGTAATTAGCTTGTAATTACAGTAGTATAAAGAGGTTTCTTTTTAAAAATGACCAGTGCTTACCGACGCCTATTCAATGAGTTAAAAATAGATACCAACTTTCAGAAAAAATCTTTACATGTTGATTTATTTTTAAGAAAAATATTTTTGCGAATGCATTGCACGCGCAAATTTGCTAAAAAATTATCTACAGTAAAAATTTCCAGATTTACGGTATATGTTAAACTTATAGAACCCAACACTTTTAGTGATGCATCTGGTCTATTGCTTACATAACACAACTAATCTAAGTGTGTTTCAGCACAATAAATATGCAATACAATATGATTGTATTACACATCAAATTTATGTCTTTGGTTTACCCACACTAAATGAAATTGCAAATCTTGCTGACATTTTGATCCAAGTTCCAAGGCTGAGGGAGCCGTCTTTGATAGCTTTATTAAGTTCTAGCATGGAACAACCTTCGGAAACACCACTATGTATTGGAAGTATTACAATCATTCCCTTATGAATTTGCACTGAAATTAATGCCATCATGATCAAACTTACTCTTGATGCATTAACCTGTTAATTCAACAGCCATATTTGTGATTTTTAACTAGGCAAATTAGTCTGGATCATCTTGATGTTTGTTAAATGTTTTACTGATTCTAAAATGCAGTCAAAATGCAGTCGGGAAATCAGGATTTTATTTTCAGCCCTGCACGTGCACATCAGAGAAATTTTATTTTATTCAGTAAAATGTAGAAAGCAGGCAGACCAAAATTAAAATTGTTTTACAAGTGTTGTTATGAGCCAATTAAGAGATTTCTTAATAAATATTTTACAGAAGATTGAAAATTTGACTTAAGTCTGTTTCATGATCCTGGGGCCAGGTCAACCTTGATACAAACTTTTAAATGATTTTTTCATTCCTTATATATTTGATGTGCATCTCCTATGTGATCACTGATGAGGTAATTAGAACAAATAATACAACATATATTTCTTAACTGATTTGACCTTTAGAAGTGCCCAACTTTTGTAAACATGGGAGGTGATATCCTAATGTATGCTGCTTGTCGAACAGAAAATTATGGGTTTTTTTTCATTACATTATCAGCAGCCCCACTAAATGAACATCTTACCACAAATTTCAAAATTTTGAAAGAGGCGTCCTTGCTTAATATACTGATGTAGTAATTTTGTTCTACCTAATAAAGAGGAAAGAAAAATATCTTTAAAGAATTTATGCTTGCATCTATCATGTGCAAAGTTTTTTACAGTCTTTGACTACATGCCGATAGGGCAAGTGAAAGTATAAAATATGGTTAATGGTAGCCCAAACAAAATTTTACTAGCCCAACTCAAGAGTAATTACAAGAAATGAACAAATGAAGTTTTAGTAGGTGCAATCCCATTTGCATTTCTGATCTAATTCAATATGATCACTAAACGTTCAAAATCAGCTTTGTATAATTGTTTTAAACATTTGGCTGCATAAGTCAATGGTGTGACATGCACACATCTTCAAATAAAAATACTTCAGTAAGATTATGAAAATTTAACTATGTATCAAAGTCTTAGAACATTTGATATCACAAATATTTATTACCTTTTTATTTATAAGAAAATAAGGGGCATTTCGGTGATTCATAAGGGAATTTTGGTGATTCGTAGTACCGGTGTATTCAAGCCATGGTCGGATTTCCAGCAATTTTGTTGACACTTTGATTCTTCATACTTTTTTTTGCATTAAACTTTTTTTCTTCTGTAAGAGCCGTCCTTTTCATGGATTTCATTAATTTTATCAGAATATCCAAATTGTGAGTTAAATATTTTGTAACTCACAAAAATTTTCGAGTATTTTTTAATTATAAATTTCACCCGAAAAAAATATCCATTTCAACCCAGACTTTGTCTTGCTCTCTTTAGTTACTGTGTATTAATCTTCCAAGTTTAAATGAACAAGCATGTGCCATGTCCCATGATCATGTAGAAAATTACAAATTCTTAAAAAGATGGATTAGACAGCTGTTTATTTTTAAAAGCTTTCATTTTAAACATGTTAAAATTGCGAGTTGTCTTTTGAAAATGCAAATTCATTATTTTGGTACTCGCAACTGTTTGCGAGTTGTAATTTTAGGGTGTTTTTACCCCCTGAGGCCATCTTTAAAAGAATGTTTGTTTGGAATTGCCGCCTGGGGGTTTTCAGACCCAGGAGGGAGGGAGGGATTTTTTTTTTTTTTTTTATTTTTTTTTTTTTACAAATTGAAGCTAAATGATAAAAAATAAAATCTCAATGAACAGTGGTTATTTCCATTTATTATCCACTTTCTTTTATTTATTAATATTATTTGGTCCGATTTGAAAAAAAAGATGTACACAGAATGATACTCAAATATTAATCTCATTTAGATGTTAAGATCTGATCATTTATTAATACTACTAGTAGTTATATTTCAGCATCAAACTTCTAGTTTATTATAAGAATCTTTATTAAACAATACTTTTATTAAGTCTATTTTGTAGTATTTCTCTTTGAAATTTAAGACAACGCTTGCAAACAGTTTAAACCACACAAAATTTCTAAGGAATAGTTGGGATGTTTTGTGGAAAACCGGGAGGGGGTGCTTGGTACTTTCTCAAGTTTTCACCATGCATCAGTTTTAACATTACGTTGCAAAGACTTGTCATACTGACAGATAACATTTTTCCTTTAGTATTTGGGATAAAACGTTTCTGATCCATGTAATTTTTTTAAGTGGGAACTGAACGATCATTTTTTTTCCCAACATGACGGACTTAACTTATCAAGTTCAATGAGCAATCTATTATAATAGCTCTTTCCAGGTATCGATGTATCATTCCATTTAATTTTTTATTCACCTTTTATTTTTAAAGAGATGCATAAATGTTCTGCTCTTCAACACAACGCTTGAATGTTTCCAACATGGTCTGACATTTTGGCGACTTTTATTTTGTCAAATCGCCACCTATAATCGCTATATCATAAATACTACGAAGAAAGCGTTTTATTGACCCGAGTTGTTAAATTTATGTGAGCTCAAACCCGACTTTATAAAGCTATTTCGACGAACGAACTAACTTGTACTAAACATTGTAAGATGATAAAACGATAAAAAAAACCATTGTTAATATTTTGCCAATAAAATTTTTTGAGCGGGGGGTATTTTAATGAGGCAGGCGGCAATTCCAAACAAACTATAATTTTATTCTGGCCTGAGAGTAGTTTGATTTACCTTTATTAAAGGATGTTCTGTATTAAGTTTTATTGAAAATGGCCCAGTGATACTAGTGGCGATCAACAGCTAAATTTCAATGACATCACGTTTCAGGCTATCCATTTTTTAAAACCATAAGTTCACTTAACTTTTAAAATTTTTAAACAAAACACCTACCTTGAGTCCTCTTTCCAGAATTTCTTCAGCTTTAGCACCTCTTACTGTGCAATGTACAGCTATTTTTTCATTTCTTCTAATCCCAAAAGATCTGACAGTATAGCGGGCTGAAAGATGGAGGCATATACAGAAGACTCATTGAAAAGTAGCCTGAACACAGATAAGACATTATGAAATTAAAATTAAAACAAATTTTTAAATTAAATTATGCAAATTTCAAAGAATGATTATGTCAATCTAACCACTTCAAGGATGTTTTCCCCCAACAAAGTAAGAACTGAAATAAATATGCCCATAATCCCCTGCTCCCTGCAGACCCAATGTAGTTACACATGCTGTCCAAGTTTCCAATTTAATATTGGTTTACCCTTTCTTTTTATAAATTAATAAGTGTTTAAAGGTATTACATATAACTAGACAGGTACGTTTACATGTATATCTTCTATCTATTCATAATAGGTGTGAACAACCTTAGACAAGCAAAGGTGTTTTAAAGGTGTCTATGGTCTATCCCACTTCAAAATGAGATAGCCCTATAGCCTATTTTATCTTCCTGGTTAGTTTCCCACATTGATGGGTGAAACAATATGAGACCCTTTTTTCCAGAGCAGTAGTATACCAATTTGGCTGCATCAATAAAATAAAAATATGCACTTTTTTCCCTAGAACCTAACCTTTTGAGAAGACGGGCTGTTGTCCAGTTAGTTGTTCTAACACCTTTGAGGCTCGTGTAAGTCTGTCACCAGATTCACCAACACAAATGTTTAAACAGAGCTTTGAAATCTTAAGCTCACGCATCACATTATGCTTCTTCTCTTTCTTCTTGCCTTTGTCCTACCAAACATTAAACAAAAATTGTCACCATATATATATCAACTAGAAATAAAATGCACATGGGCATTTTAAAATGAAGTTCAAATATTGTCATATCTTCCTTTCAAGCTTTATCATGTTTATCATCATTTTCAGTATTAAAAAAAAAGCCTTTAAATTGTAAACTTTAAGCTTTATTATACATGTTGTAATGTTGTCATTCGTTCCTCTCTCAGACACCTCTGCAATGGGCTCACGTCAAGATTTTTGACGTAACGTATAAAACGTGATAGTTGCAGGATTGTTTCAAATTAAATTAACAGTTCTTGATTGATTTAGTGAATATATATCTCAAAACTTAGACATAAGCATAGAAATTGAATTATAATGAATTAAAACAAATGCACTATTTCTTTGTGTTTATCACTGTGATATACGCAAGCCAACGACAGAGATGAATGTATGAGCCGATGGTAAAGAGTGTTAAATACCAAGGTACTGAAGCTAGTGTTGAATAATCGGGAAAATTTCATAATCGATAATCGGTCAAAATCGGAGAATCTTAATCGATCAATGATCAACTTAATCAGTAATTAAAATTTCAAATACAAAATTCCATTTCTTTATAGCATTTATCATTTATGTAACAAACTAAAAATAAAATTTCATCAAGTTTTTTTTAAAGACAACTTTTTGTCTTATAATTAACAAAGAAACAGAAAAAAAATTACATATTTGCTCATAAAAACTAAAAAAGTTTGTCATGACATCAGATTTTGCATTCCCTAGTTAGAATAACCTAACTGTGTCTCCGTATAAGCCCTCACCACAGTTAGAATACGTCCCATATACTTGCAATGTAGCAAATCGGAGTGGATCCGCTCCAAAATGATTTTGAAGAATATAAACGGATTTGCAAAGGAAACAACTTCCAAATTAATTGCTTATGACTTTTATCCCAAAAAATAATCCATATAAAGACGACAATCCAATTAAAGTTCTCCACGTTTTCTCTTGCTTCAAATTTACCTGCCATGTTTACATTCGGAACTTTCTAGATTGTATGAGTACGAGTTATTGCCCGTGTTTGTTTCGCTACATTACAAATACATGGAACAAATTCCATCGTTGAACCCGGTCCATAGGACAACATCATTTTAACGATAGAACGGTCTATCTATGCACAGGGGTTCAAAAATCCTCAAGCCCGACGTCCCGGACTAACAAATTTTATTCCGGCTCGGCATTTAATATTCGCCAAAGTCCTGACTTGGCTATGTTTCTTGTTTATCTTTTTTTATAAATTAAAAATATGATCGTAGAGATAAAAATAAAGCAAATTCTCAAATGTATTAAGGATAAATGTGTGTTTGTGGGCGTTAAAATACCCATAAAACATTACGAACTTTTCGAAAATACAATCAGTCTTTTTATTTTCCGTTGCGGTTAGACTCTTGCTTTTACGCAATTCCTCATGTTTCCTCCTATATGACAAATGGCAATGAGTTTCTTAAATTTCGGTTTTAGCTGTGACTTACAGCACATTCTAATTTCTGTTTATTGTAACAGATAGTTTATTCAGTAGTGAGTATTTGTAAAAGTTAATGTGATGTACCAAATCTATCAGTCTGGTATTGTGTTGAAATACTCATGTCTGATTATATACGACAGTTTATGGAGGAAAAATAAAACATATATTAATACATATAGTCTTTATTTATTCAATGCAACAAATGAAAATAAATTATAAGTTACATAAATTTAATGATGTATAGGTAAATATGGACTCTGAAATTTCTTCCTCGGACTTGCCTAAAATTTACTCTTCAAGTCCTGGACTTGACCATGCAGGGTTCGACATTCGCGCTCGTCACCTCGCCATTTCCACCCTAAAATGATTTCGGACGACCTGATTTTCAGTCTGGCTCGCCCAAATGACGACCTGGGACAAGTTGGGAATATTTAATAATGATGTTTAATATTTTAAACTAAACTTCATATTAAGACCTTGAAAACATATTTTCCTTTAACAAAACCAACCCATTCAACATGTTCAAATTGCAGCCGCGAAGATTTTTTCTCCTACCAAATCTTCGTTCGATCAATCAGCTGATGCATTTTTTACTAAAAGTCTTTAATAAAGTATTATTTGAGATATAAAAGAGGCCAACTTAGTGAACAATCACCTTAAATATAAAGAGTAATAATCATCATTGTAACATCTTGCATTTCCCCTACAACTTTCTGATCAGAATGATCGTTTTCTGCTGCTAGACAGCCATTTTGGGTGTCCACTGTAATGTAACACCTGATTAATTCAGTCCAGGGTTATTTGACTCTATATATTTAGGCCTTCATGGCAAGTGAAAATGAATGTTTTAAGCTACAAACTTTAGCATTCAGCATGTCTGATTCTGCTTATATTTTTAATTGTTTGATAAAATACTTGAAGACATCTTTAAATTCCAAAATGTCTGGTTTACATTTTTTAATACAAGAACACAACTTCTATTAATTATCTTAACAAATTGTAAACAATTGCACATTAAGTTTTGTTTCAATTGATATTTTATTTGGACGACCTGAAATTCATTTGGGCAACCTGTAATCATACCAAGGTTGCCCGAATGGCGAGACAAAATTTTGACGAGTGTCGGACCCTGCCATGACAAAAAAATTTTTGAACCCCTGATGCATTCCCTGGATATGGGTATATTTCTCATTGATTGTTGTTAACTTCGTCTTCGCAAGCCACACCATTTTTGTTGATCTCCTTTCGTTTTACATGCATTGTTAATGCTTACGTATTTGTTTCATTCAAATTGTACGAGTTTATTTGGGCAAGTTTATGTGGGTGACAATCGATTATGAAAAACATAATCGATAATCGGAATTGAACACCCAAAAACGATCGACGATCGATCGTCGGCGACAATCGTTTCATCACTAACTGAAGCTATTAATACAGTGATTTGTTTGTGCCAAAATGCAACCTATATTCAGCACTTTCCCCTCAAAAAATTAGAATTAACCCCCAATTTTCATTTTGTTTTTCCCCAATTTCAAATGTTAAAAAATAGTCATCTGACAACCAGAAAATATATGTTTTTTCCATTCAATTCAATTCTCCAATGCAAATATAAAAAGTTTTTGTGATGAATGTGCAAAGCAATGGAGGTATCCATATAAGTTGATAGGTAGTTAATATATAAAATATTATTACACTGTTTCAAGATACAGCCTTGTTCAGTTGTTGACATGTTTAGCTTGACTGTCTTTATTGAATACAGGGTCAGGCTAATAACTGGAAATGGACAAACTATAAGATTTCACTAAAAATCAGGAGAAAAATGAACAGTAAAGACATTCTATAGTTTACATTAGATTTAGTGGTATAGTAGATATGAAGTCAAAATGGTGGCATATTATCATATTTAGGATGATGGATAAAACCAGAGACTTCCTAGTATTCCACTCTGAGGTCTCTGGTTTTATTCTTCATCTATAACCCAAACCGGAAACTGGTGTATCTCATCCGGTGTCTAACTTTTTATCAAGGAATTCTTGAGGAATAAATGAGTGGTTTAAAAGAGTCCTAGCCAGAGACTTCAGAAACAATTTAATGGGCAAGAAAAATTTCTTGAAGCAAACGATGTCCTTAGTAGTTAATAATTGATATATGACAAAATATGAGGCTCAGCTTGAAGCTGAAATTGAAATTGAGTTAGGTACCTTGTGGTAAAAATAAGTAGGGGTGCTCTGTTTTCAAAACAGTACATGTGTTTAAATCACTGGCACTTGTTTCGGTAACAAATTTTTAACCCATTAGTCATACATATTAACTCTACCGATTTAGGCGGGAGTCTACCATTTTTTCACTCCATCTCCCGCCTACCGATTTTATTCGTAAGTCTACCACTTTTCTACAAAAGTTTCATTTTAAAGTTTTTTTGGCTCGCTTGGGTATCCATTTTGAAGCCATTCGTCATAAAATCTTGTCAGATATCATGTGACTTGAACTGGAAGCATGAAAACGCTTTTTTTGTACCGATGTGTACATGGAATTCAAGCACGTATTTAACAATGATAACAGCACAAGATAACCAGTGATAACATTGGTTACTATAAATTTCATCAACATTACGGCCATGAAAAAGGATATGCAGCATTTCCGAATTGGCTGAAAACGTTTGACATCATCTAAAAAAGCACAGGATCTCACAATTTTATCAATAAAGTAAATAGAAATCAAACTTTCGTTTTCAACCATCGCAGGAAATCCGAGTAATATAACGAAAGATAGGAACTAGTTTTAGATCTAGATTAAACCATGTCATCATTTGTTGTGTTCCACAACTAATAGAACATTCAGAATTATTGCTTCTAGGCTATATAAGCAAAGATCACTATTCAAAAGATTAAAATAAGCAGCCAATATCAAAGGAAATGAGGAGCATGAAAAATATTTGAATTTTGTACAATTTTTGTCAAACATATGGTTTTTCTGAAGTGTCTTCTTCTTTGCAGTTAATATTTAAGATTTATCAATTATTGTAGTTTTCATTTAAGACTATACATGTATATTAAATGAAATATATCTTCATAAATCTTAGCGTAAAAAAACACGCACGCAATGCTACCGCTTTTGAGGTCTAAATCTCCCTATTTTTCAACACAAAAGGTTAACATGCAGTCTTCATGAAAACTCACTGGTCCGAAGACCGAGGCAAGTGAATTTTGATGTCGGGTCAGTGAAAATCAAAATTCAAAAAGTTCGATGGGCTTCTTGATTATAAAAATCATACAAAGTCAATATATCGTTTAATCCCTATTAACCGCCCCGGGTGCTTAGAAAATTTCAAAAAGGGGGCGGTTATTTTGGTATTCTCTTTATATTATTTAATGTCATTCTTATACTTCAGAAATTTTAAAGAACAACTAAAATTATGTCGAACATTACTTTAAGTGAAGATAATCCACCCAATTTATGCGATATGATTCACTTTCCTCTGAGAAATTGGATAATAGACAAGTTACATTTTCACTTTGTTAAAATTTTGGCAGACTTTTGACGATTCAAGATGATTTTAATCACTGTACAGGGGGCCCTTATTTTCTGATAATTGAAAAAAGACCTAGGGAGCGCTTATAGGGGCAGGGGCGGTTAATAGGGATTATACGGTATATTTTATCTGACTTACTTGCATAAACTTCATTACTGTATGAAATAAAATGAACAAACATGTGTTGTTGAATTATATTATTAATATAACATGGACGTATTACAAAACAACCGGAACTAGCTAGTTACTATTAACTAGTATGTAAAATGTGCAAATTTCCAACGAACAACTTACCGAACAAAGGGCAAAAAATGGCAGCATTTCAAAAGTTGAAGTACGTAACCATGTATTTTAACAGGGACCAACCTAGACCCAAAATTTAAGAAGACTTCACTTCTCCCTCAAAAGTAACCTCGGCGTTTTACATTCGAATACGGAATTAGATCATTCAGCAATCCTCGGTTGACTTCGAATATGCTTTCCCTTTCTATCCATACCAACTGTCCTAACGAGCGCGTTTGGATTATTTCTAGTCAGAAATGTGTATTGCAGAGGCTCCAAGGGGGAAATTTAAGCATAAGGTTTTAGCAGAGTTGTGGAAAACTGTCGGTCATGCCGGCAAAACAGGCTTAAAATTCGCACGACTGGTAAAAATGCTATCAATGTCGGTCCAAAAGTTTTTTTGTTTGTGCATTTCCCATCTAATTATTGTATCTTATATGCGATTGCGTAATACCTTATCTTTAAACGAGATCGAGGCTGTAAATGAAAGCGAAACTAGCATGGTTCTCGTGACCTAGTAAATTCACAACTGGGGCCGAGTTAGGTAGAAAACATATTAAAGAAAAACTTCAGATAAAGATGAGCTAAATATGAAAAATTTCAACAGAAAGAATTCAAGCACAGGTGGCGAAAGCATTTAACCTAGTATTTCCGTCTGTAACGGATTTTCGATTTTTCTCCGATCGTGTTGATATCTTTATTATCAGATTATAGATGCAAAGTATTTTTAGACCCATTTTCTAGGTTAATATAATTCCAAAATGTATAAATGTTCTAAAAAATTACGTTGACTGTGCTGAATTAGCATTGTCACCTGCCAAAAAGCGGTGGTATAATTGTATCTAGTATTGTTATAAATGCAAAATTAAAAGAAAACGGAAGAGTACTTGGAAATAATAATAGAGTACTGAATTTTGTTTTATTAACAACACGATTAATTAAATAGATGTGTTATAAAATGAATAAATGTTATGCTTTTCTCCATTTTGCGACTTACTATTTCGGACCGACAAAAATTACTTCGGACTGGCTTAGTTTGTTTTCTTGCCAGTCCGAATGACCAGCTATCTGAAAAAGTTTTCCACAACTCTGTTTTAGAAGAATCATTTCTTAAGAGATCCCAGGCAGTGAGTTGGTAAAATACGGCAAAATATAACGAAAACAGAGGTTGAAGTGAGGAAGGGGTCCAAAATGGCGTTCTCCCTTGTGCAGTTTTATAGTATATCATTTTTTTTTCATAAATATTTTTTACATGCCAGGAGCAAGTCCCTGTGAAGAGAACATTAAATCAAAGGCCTGAAGGGCCACAATGGTGCCGCGCTTTAGATATGGCAGTGATACCGTGAAATGATTGGATTTCCAAGCATGTTTAAACAGGGTTAGTAACTTAGGTCCCTGGTTTAAAAGCATGCATATGTCTACAGAATTATATAATAGCTTAGTTGTATATCTAGATAAAATAACACGATTTAAGCATTTATGAAATAAACACCAGGTTTTCCTTCTTTTTTTTAAAAATATACTTCATTTTATTGTTTTTAATTGCGATGATGTCCGTTTTTGGTTTTAACATTTATAACAGAGTACTAGATTTACTGCTGTTTGGCAGATGATACTGCTGATTCAGTAATAAATATGCATGTTTTTTAAGTTTTTATGCATTAATGAATTCATTTAAACCTGGAAAATGTTCATGAAAAGTTTGAATAAATTCTGTGCACTTGTACAAAAGAAATCGCTAAAAATCCTAAAACCGGGACAGTCGGGAGTTGGGAGGAGTAGATTTACCGCTTGCCGGTCCTGATAACAATCTTGTTATATTGAAAGCCATTTTAAATTTTGATTTTTCAAAACATTCCCAGTTAACTGTTTACACTAGCACTGATAATTTACTGGCCAACTGAACATAGACATCGGCATTGTTTACATAGAGCAAGCTTGGGTTGTAACTGAAAGTTACAAGTATAACCTAATTTACGAACCAAATCCAGAAATCGGGGATTCGAGCGATAAGCAAGTCCCGCCGTGTCATAAAAAATAATCAGTTAAGGGTGGTAAAGTTACCTGAAGACAATAGTTGGCAACTATGTATAGGACTGTTGAAATTGTATGATTTTCAAGCAATGTATCGAATAAACGCAAAAATTGGCAAGTATGTTCCTACGCCAGATACATGAAGGTCTTGGTTCGAGTACTATATTATTTGGCGCATAAAGAAAGCGGTGAACAGTCAGAGATTTCCTCTTAGCTGTATGTACGCCGAGCTAAAGCTCGACGCCATAAAAACAGTTTGCCAGTGCATTTCCTCTGAAAGTGTATATGGTTGCGTTTATGATGGGCACTGAGGGTAATTTGGAGTTAAATTTCATGTGTTATTATTGTACTATGAGTTAAATTTACTTTGAAACCGCCTTTGGTTTAAATGTCCGAATTTCCTCATACAGAGGCTTAAGCTCTACTCCTTATAGACTATGCAATGTAACTGCTCGCAAAGTTAATTTTCATGTGAATGTCCAGAGAGTGAATAAAACAATATCAGTTTTAGATTAATTTTGCTTATCTCGGGAACCATGCACTTTCAGAAATTCATAATGAACTTTGAGAGAAATGTAAATTGTTTACATAAATGTGATTAAATAAGAATAGAATATTAATCCTTGGTTCATTTGATTTAGAGTATTTCAATGGTGAGTTATTAACCCATTTGAGAAGTTTCATCGGTTTTTTTTTCAATATACAACCCGTTTTGACAACTTTAAATTTTAACATCCATAAACCTGAGGTAAATGTCCAAGAATTATTTACAAATATATATATTTAATGTAAATTTTAGAATAATTTTCAATTTGAATCGCCAGTGAAAATTGATATTTTATTATCTGATAGATTTTAAAATTTTATCATGTGAAAATCTGCAGATGGATAAAGATTTCGTTTAGCATGTAATCTACTACTACTAACCGCCATGTTAGCTGTACAGGAAAAGGAAGTAGACTGTTTATTTTCACCGGAAGTTTACTAGGAACCATTGGTCGATGGCTGTTACTCAGCTTAGCAACGCAGCAAACTGAAGAAAAAGCAACAGAAGACATGAGTTCTAGTGGAGAGGAGGATGAAATTGGGCCAAGTGTCGATTCTAATGACCCAGAGGAAAGAATTCAGGCTCGACGAGAGAGAATAAAACGACGTATAGAAGCTGCAAAGAGGTACATTTCACATCAACATACCATATCGTCGGAGGCCCTAAATTCGTTACGGTCCTAGGGTCGTGACCTTTTATTTTTCTGGAATACCTTGCATGATTTTGAGTCCCCCTACATCACATCGTTCGAAAAAAAATATTTGGATTAATTTTGTCATATTTTACAGCTCCTGAAGATGATATGGACGAAAGCAGGCAAAAGTGTATAATCAGAAACAAAATTTCGCTATTACCGCATATATTAAAAAAGAAAATATTTGATATTTTTTTCTTATGTCCTATCTCAAGTGTATTGGTGCTAGGGTATGCATTATTCATATAAAGTCAACAAAATTCACATGTCCGATTTGGAATGTTTGGATCTGTATTATGTAATTTCCGCTAAGGTCATGACCATAGGACCAGTGTTTCAAAATGGCATCGGGTAAACATATGTACTTTGAACGAGATGTAAACAATCAATAAAGGCATGAATTTTTAAAAACTTTCAGTTTAATTGAAAGAAAAAAGATTTACAACTAAGGTATGACTTACAAAATGAAACAGCATTTCAAATTTATTTTAAAATGGAGATTAGCTTATTAGGGTAACGACTCATGGACCTCCGAGGATATATACTCGATTCTCATTATATCGCGGGTTTCATTGTATCGCGGTATATTGCAAAAAAAATTGGATACATAGCCTATATTCTTTTTGTTGATAAACAATGTGTATTTTGTCTGAATGTTTACTTTTTTAATGATTAAAAAGTATGGAACATCAGTTTGAAAAGAAATATTCAAATAAAACGTAATTTTACACATTTCCAGTCCCGTTTTTATTATATTTAGACCATTAAAGTTATAAGCTATTGAAAATTATAATAAAGTTCATTTCTAAAGACTGTTAATTTGTACAATTGATTATTTTTAATGTAGAATTACATCGTAAATTCAAAAATAAAAATTGACGTCCATGACAGCTAGAAGCATCCATTTTTTCCCATACCGCGATACAATGAGACTCTCCAACTTAGGAGGTAAATAAGACTTCCTGTTTTAAAAATAGACCATAAACTAAAGGATGCAAGCTTGGAAAATAATTTGACACTAAAAAGTTAGGTTATAGTTAGAATTATTAATATCATTTGATATAAGTTAAATTAAAAATTTGACATTATACTTTTTTATGCAAAAGAATTAAGTACCGCGATATAATGAGACACCAGTATATAATAAACAGGTCCAGGAAAATCACTATATATATCTATATAGCAAAATCTACGTATATAGCTTTATTTACCTATATAATATAGCTTTATTTAGCTATTTCAGAGTAAATTTCTGTTTAATGAAAAGCAGACAAAAAGTCGCATAATGAGACAGTATTAGTTTTCAACTTTAAAACGGACTGAAAACAATTCACCAAAAACCCACTTCTAAAAATGTTTCTCCTTTTGTGCAATTGCAGTCAAAGATCTAAAAGTTTTAGGGCTATGTATAACAGTTAAGCTGTGATTTAGCAGCTACTTTAACAAAGAAAAGCAGTTTTGGTCAACAAGATCTTTTTCTCCACCAGCTACTGTAGAAATTAATGAGAACCTTGGAAGGTGTAAACAGTAATTGTAACAGGACTGGGATTATTGAAGAACAAATAACTGCCTGTTGAGGGTTCTGACAAGACTTTATTTACCAGTCAAATACATCTTCGCTAGCCAAGGGTTTCTGATACGCTACTCTCCTCATGAACCCTTGGCATATACGGTGAAGTTAAAATACGGGATTGTTTTCGTCACGTGATCTCAAATCTATCAGGTACGCACAGATTGCGTCATCGACAGAAATAAAGATGCGTGTTTAAAATAAAAATGAAATCAAAGTTTTTTTCAAGAATAATTAATAAGCAATAATTGAGTAATGTTTTTTATATTTAGAGTACAAATCTGAAGCTTCAATATATAATCTTCAATCACATATTTAGAAGATTTTGGATGACACTATCGCTATTGTTCGAATTGCATGTTGTCTTACAGATTGTTGTTTAATAGCGTTTTTTATTTCCGAGATTAAAAAGTCAAGAAATATCCCGAACGGAAATAACGTCATTTACAAAAAACAATTGCTGATTGGTCGACCGGGTGTACCGAATCCCAGTCAGAACTCGAGAAAAAAAAAACAACTTCTATCAACACTGTATGCCAAGGGATTATGAGGAGAGTAGTGTATCAGAAACCCTTGGTTAGCGAAGATGAGTCAAATGAGGAAATAATGGAAATAACCCTGCAATATTAACAATATAACAAGTGTAATAATTCAGCACAATGCAAGGCAATCACACTTAGTCATGCCTCATCACACTTCCAGTGAGGGACAGCTATCCAAACAATAGAGATGCATTTTTTGGTTAAAAAGTGTTTAAAAGAGGCAATGTTTTTACTATCTATACCCTAGGTTGTTTTTATCAAACCTTTTAAAAAAAATATCAGCCATAATTTTCACGCAACTTTTTGTCTGCTTTTCATAAAAAAGAAACTTATTCTAAAATAGCTAAATAAAGCTATATTACATAGGTAAATAAAGCTATACAGGTAAAATTAAGTGAATCAGCTATTAATTATTCTCTAATCAGCCTTTCCACTTATGAAAAAGTTTTTGGAAACTCCGAAAGTGATGGATTGCTTTCACAACAAACTTTAATCTTAAGATAAGTGTATCCAGGGACCAACCTAGACCCAAAGTTTAGGGAGACATTTCTCCCTCAAAGAAATTTAGTTAGAAGTTTTGAAATTTAGGGAGACTTTTTGCCGCGCGTACGTGGCACACATTAAACGTTATTTAACTATAATTCAATGTTTATATCTTGCATACATTTCGATAATTTTTCTGTATAAACATTGTATTTAAAAATGATTAAACAAGAGAAAAAGAATTTTAAAAGATATTTCCCCCAATTACAAGGTATATAAATATCTAAAAAAATAATAAAACAACATTGACATTGACATTAAATAAAATTTACTATTACTGCTATTAAAATGTAAAAGTTTCTTATTGTCAGATTAATTGTTTATCAAACATTTTTTTTCATTTAATTACATAGTAGTACATGTACAATCTTAAACTTCTAACATTTCTCTTCTCTTTAGATTTCTAGGCATTTGGCATAGGAATAATTTTATTAATTTCTCTTCAAACTTTGTTTTCAATATAAAATTCTTTTTCTAATAAAAGTTTTGACACACTTCTGCATGCCGATTGAACTACTTATGTTTATCGGATCCGATGTGTGACTTCTTAGGAAGTTAAGAGCCATTCTCTGTAATGACTTGAACTTTTATATAGGAGCTGTGGCACGCATAGTCTCAGAATTTTTCTAAACTCTCTATGATAAAAGTCTTTGATACCCTAAACTGAAATGAGGCAAAAATTGGTTGCTATGTTTTATAGTTACCATGGCAACATGTCTTAAAGTTTGAAAAATGGCATTTTTTAACATGTTTAGAGCCCCGTAGTTAACATTTGCGGCAAAGCAAACAATTGGCAATGACTGTTTCCAAAAGTTGAAGGTCAGAGGTCTCAAATGCATGATAAACATGTTTGGTCAATCAACTATTACATATGTTACTATGGTAACAAAGTATTCAAAAGTAAAAAAAAATATTCATTGAATTTTATAGTCATACACGTAAAAATAAAAAGCAATTTTTGTGACCAAATAATAAAAAAAGACCCTTGAAACACATACCAAGAACAAAATATGATATTTCATTTTGGTTGGCAATGGTTGCCAAGGTTTTTATACCACAGAGAGCCTTTTAACACTCTGTAAAATCTGATCCTATCTTTTAAAAAAGCACATTTCCTCATAACTGATAATCAATTTTTGAAGATGTTGGTGTGCTCCTAGTTTTCCCATTTGAAAAAATTCAGATTAGATTCTTTAAATAGAGCGTTGCTATGGAAATAAAGAAAATATATGCTTAAAAACCTGAAAAATATTTTCTGTCCTTGGATAAAACCCTTAAATGTAATTCCCAAAACTTTTATGATTGATATTTATTAACAGCCAACCTGACTTTTAATTTTGACTATCATCCAATCTCTAAGTGGATGCAAGAAGTTGGCACACAGGGTTTAATATTAATATGAAGTTCACAAAATCGAACATTTTCCCTTCTTGGTAACCATAGCAACAGTGTTGTTTTCTTCATCAAATTTTATCAATATATGATATTCAACTTCAGTTCTAACAGATAAGTACGATTCAAGCTGAGTCCTTTAATTTGTTTCTTGGGTATATGGCAATTTAATTCTTAATGCAGCGAAAAATAGTTCACTTTTAAGCACTGGTACTTTGTTTCCATGGTAACACTGCTAAGTAGCAATTATACCCAATTTTTCTTATGGTTTTGGTGTTGTAAGGTCCTAAGGATGCATATTTGCCAGTCTTGAGTTTTCATGTTTTTCCTCAAGACAGTAGCATTAACCCAAACTTAGTTACTGGTTTTGCATGGTTACACTGTGTTACCATGGCAACCATAAAGTCATTTATAGAATAATATTCCTTATACTTATATACTTAAGGTCAAACATTTTCAATGTTTTTCTTAAGTCGTTGATTGAGTTTGAGCATGTAACACCTACCATTAGTGAATACGGAGTGTTTTTCAGCATATTTCAGCATTTTAGATGTATTCCAAATGTACCCTTGGTTACCACTTACTTAGAGATATATTCTAAACTGTTTCTGTACAGTATAAGTGACATCAAGGTGTCGTGTTTTTGTGAGAATGATTTGTTTGCTTTTTCTAGTTTTTATTAAGCCACAGTCAAGATTTAAAGTGGCTGAA